GGTGAGAGGAGGGAGGAGGTGGGGGGGGTTCTGATCTCCACAGAGGGAGAAAAATAGAGGCGATGAGAAAAGCCTCAAGGAAAAGAAATCGACAAAAGCCCACACAGAGAACGGGGTGAACGAACCCTGCAGCTGCTGCTGAGAGGGAAGAACAAAGACAGAGGGCGGCGAGGTGAGGAGGAGAGGAGGTGAGAGGGGAGGAAACAACGAAGGTGAGCAGAGATGGAGATCAAGAAGAAGTCAAGTCGGCCCAGCTTGCTCTGTGAGTAAAAGCAACAAAGCGGGGCTGTGGGAAGAAAGAACCAAGTGTCAAACTTGGATTACCTTTCTTTAAAATAAAACATAAATAAAATCTGCAGCACTGTTTCTTTACCTGATAAAAAAAATACAAACTAAAATAGAAAATCATTCATCCAACCTTTTGGGTCCCTGGATGCTGATCATGCCCATGTCTTCAGAGTGGTCCGTCAGCTGGCACCGGAAGCCTTGGTCCTGAAGAACAGTTCTAATGTGGTTCCAGTTGTGTTCTGCGACACCGCCTCCGATGGCCAGGTAGTATGCATCACCTGGATTGCAGGAAATGCTTGTTAATTATTAGCAAAGTATAAATTATCTCATGTTTCCTTCCAATATTAAACTTAACTTGCTCATGAATAATTCTAATCTGATTTGTTTTGTTTTACTCATAAACGAATTACAGACTTTTGCAGCTCTTCTGTCTTGTTATTGAAGCGGCACTGAACGGTACTCACCATCGGACTCTGGTGCCAGGGGCAGGTTGGCAGCGCCGGGCTCCAATCTGCTCACCGTCAGGTCGGCCTCAGCCCCCCCTCGTTTATTCAGCATGCAGGTATACACAGTGGAGCCTGAAACGTGCAGAAAACAAACATTAAATAAACATTAAAATTAGTGTGGAAGGGGAACCTCAACTAAAATGTGCAATTTTTTATGAGCATCTGCTGCTCAGAGACGGTAGTTAGCCACTGTGAAAATTAACAAGCATGCTAATAGCGGAACTAGTTTCTCATTTAGCAGATTAGAATTTTTGCCCAATTCAGAAATTTTTAATTCCCCAAAAAATAAATAAATAAATAAATCACAAGAGTGAACCTTCTATTTTTTT